TTTTTTCTTTTTTTCCTTCTTTTTCTTTTTTTTCTTTTTTTTTCTTTTTTTCCTTTTTTTTCTTTTTTTTCTTCTTTTTTCTTCTTTTTTCTTTTTTTATTGGTTCGTAAGCATGAAGAATTTGGACACAGTGAAAAAGGTTTTACCAACGGATCCCGCCTTGGAGGAAAACCAACAGCCTCAGATTAAATTACCTTATCACCTGACCCCTCCTTTCAGAATGCCCTCAAAGGATCTACACATGGTCCGAAACAGACTCTCAACGTCAAACTCGATTTCAAACTCGATTTCAAACTCGATTTCAAACTCGATTTCAAACTCGATGTCATCGACTTCACAAATTTAGTCAACTGAGTCAACTGAGTCAACTCCACAAATTGAGTCAACTTCATAATTCTAGTTGAATTTACAAATTTGGTAATATTGAGTCAAATTTACAGTACATAATACAGGGTCTGTTGTTTCATCAGTGGCAAGAGCTTACTGATTCTGAAGAGGACAGCTTCGATCTTCTTCTCCGTCCACGCAATCCTCAACATGATGCATCGATAATACCAAAGCAGCAGCGCCGCAAATGCGAAGAGCAGAGCAAATGGAAGTACAAGGATCATACACAAACCTCCGGCAGCCATCACTGCAAGAAAAGCAGAGCACAAAACATTTTTTTGAATTAAATGTCAAAAACATCTGTAAGAGCAAACAATGGTGTCATAGAAGGCCTCTGTCCATGTGCGTGTGTCACCGGGTGTACTCTTTGCACATGCGCATATAAATCCTTTTTTCCTTTCTTTCCTTAATTTGTTCTTTTTAAAATTGTGGACCATTTCTCGATCTATATGCGTTAAACTTGCGCAACGGCCACATACTCGTAGAATCCTACCCCTGAGCCAGGGAGATGAAAACATAAACAAGCGCTAGGGTACACTGCCACTCAACAACCACCACAACCACAACCCCTGCCTGAGATCCCGAGAAAGCGATAATATTATGCAGACATCAAGTAACGGGAAAAAAAAAAAAAAAAACATGATGATCCTTTCCAGCACTGCATGGAGAACACGCAACGCATCCCATCTGGCAAAGTGTGCACAAGTCCTGGAACACACAAATCAGCACACTTTCAACACCCAGCTTTGTCTTCCCTCCCCAGGATCTCTCTCTCTCTCTCTTCAACAGCTCCATGAAAAAAAACAAAAAAAACGCATGACTGTGATGGACCATTTCATCGGGCATTCCCCAACCAGTTCTATCCAGCATCTCAGCTGCAAAACAGACCACTAAATCAACATCAGGGCCAGTCTCAGCCAATCCGCCGCCAAATGGCAATAAAATTATAAAACACTGTGTAACACTCACTAGGAAGAGGACCACAGAGGACAAGGGAAACTACTCAGGCAGGCAGGCAGCTAAAGTACTTCTGGCCACAAGCCACATACTTGACCGAATTGCGATGTAGTCCAGTGCATTGGAGACAACTGCCCATGCTCTGAAGTGGCAATCTGCAAATCACAAAGTCCAACAACAAGTGGAAAAATCAGTAATTCAAGTCAAAGCAAAGCAAAACAAAACAAGGCACAGAAATCAATGCCAGTGCAAAGAGGGAGCCAACGAACACGCAACCACATTGCACACACATCTGTGTCAATTGCCAGAGCCTCATCAGAAAGGAGCGCCTTCCGGTGAAAGCATTCAACTCAGTCGATATCAAACAGATAGTACATGACCGATTGGCATCAGGGCAAGGACACCGTGGAGAGTGCGCCTGTTGGCAACAAGGAGCTGAGTAGAAAGAACTGTGGTGCTGTATCAGAGGGTTCGCCGTAGGCTGCTGAATGCAGCAGATCTCCCCAGGCTCAAATGTGAAAACACCAAAAGACTACCAGCTCAAGGTCCCAACATGCCACCGGTGGGCCCGGCTCCGTTGGTACAGTTGAAATGGTAGACCTGAGTTCGAATCCAGACAAAACTTCATGCTTGAAATGCACAGCCAAGGGTTGCGGCGATGTGTGTCGTAACTGAACAAATGCTCTCTCCTTCCCAACAGTCGCATCGCACAGGGACCAGAGAGTCGAAAAGGAATAACCCAACGTGAAAACGGGATCCCTCTCAGGCCAGACTCACACTAGCCCTCTCCCTATACCGTATACGACTGCAATCACAGCTACTATTTCATGCATCCGACTGCTATCACGTCCAGAGCCGAGTCCAAGAAGTCCTCGTGCGAGTATGCTCTGAGTAATACAGATGGCTTTTCAAGTCATGGTCCTCCTTCCTCCCTCTACTCACCACATGCACAAAAGATAAAAAAAATAATGCAGTGTACCTCTCCATGTTCTAGCAGAAGATTCCTTCTCATTTCGTACATTCATTTGGTGAGTAATGGAGTGAGGACCCATTACCCTGCCATTATCTGAGGAAGTCCAATAAAACTTGTAAAAGCAGTTGCTTTAACCACCACTACCCTTACACCCTTCATCGGGCGCGGGGAGGGTCCCCGCTCGTTTCCGAGGCCGCAGCACGGCGGCCGCCGATGAAATTCATCAATGGCAGCCGCCATCGAGTCCCCGGTCCTCGAAGATTGCGGTATAGGTTACATTCCCGCTTCTCCCTACACTTCGAAAGGTGCTGGCGGCTTAACCAACAGAAAACAAAACAGAAGATCAAAACAAAGATGACAGACACATGCATCACATGAATACGACAAGACTCCAACTGTGTAATTCGCCACTGAAGACATTTCCACTTGATGGCTGCAGAACCGACGAAGATCCAGAGTGACGGAACGGGCGTCTCAACCAGAGGTCTCTGAAATTAGGGACAATGGAAGCTTCAAGCGTCGTATGCACGGTGGTCCCACAAATCAGCAGCACAATCACAGGGTTACAATGGTGTCTACAATCAAATAGAACGCCCCGGTCATGACAGCTGTATGTAGTACAACTTTCTGTCCAGAAACAGCGATATTGACCGGGTGTTTTATTCGGGTGAAGACGGTAGGGATTACAATGGTGTCGAGGGGTTGTACCCTGTGGTGTCTAAGGATTGGGAATTACAGCACAATCAAAGAACATGCTTGGAGCATAAGAGAGAAGAAGCAGATCAGAGTGGTGCGGAAAGTAAATACTAAAAAGCCATCTAGAAATTTCGAGGTGATTTCCGCGTTCTTCCGGACATCCGTCAAAATTGGAATGATACAGAGAAGATGAGCATGGTCCCTGCGCACGGATGACACGCATAAATCGAGAAATGCTCCCAAAAACAAAAAAGATCCGACATCCACGGATACATACCCAGCAGGTAATGCCAGAGGTCAGCCCACGTCTCCACTACTATCTCCTTGTCTTTTGGCAGTTGCTTGTCCTGACAAACACAAATCATGAGGAGGAGCCACACACACAACGATATTAACATCAAGCAACTCGAAAGAACGAAAGAACGAAAGAACGAAAGAACGAAAGAAACAGCGTCCTCCGGGACCACCCGTTAAAATCGGAATGATACGGAGAAGATTCGCATAGCCACTGACACAAATAAAATAGAAAAAAAAGAGGAGAAGAAAGAAAGAGAGAAAGAAAGAAAGAAAGAGACGGTCAGAAAGCATTGGGTATATACAAAGCAACACTTATCAAACTAAGTAGCAGAGGGGGGCACAACAGTGATGAGAAGACCAGCTGAACAGTGAACATCCAAGCCACGTTCTATTCGGGTGAAGACCATGAGACTGTTTTGACGGCAGCCTGCCATCAGCGCAGTCAGGTGACAAGTTCGAATGTCCGATGGCATACTCACACAGGTGCTTTCCTAAATGTACCTGACCGCAATTGCAGCCAGATCTGGACGTATCTTTTGACCGCATAAGCGTCCCGAGCTTAGTCGAAAAAGTCCGAGCATGCACGTCTCTACAAGTCGCTTTCGTCTTCTCAATGAACGTATCCAAGCCACTGTGTGGGCCTCACTCCACTACTCAACATTCTACATGCATTTGGACGCCTTTCTGGACCAGGTACATCCGAAGGAGTCCAACAATTCAATGAATCGGGACAATTATGAGCTCAAGATACGTATAGAGTGTTGTGCATTGGAGCAAGGGCCAATGCAAGGCATGGTCATGGCTCTGACAGGCACAGAAGCCTTTCAGACATTGCTTGCACATTCACACCCTGCTATACCGCACTGATAGAGTCCCATTTTTCCTTAAACCAGTAGCACCTCCGCCAGCGTTGGGAAAATCGGGAAAACTGGCCGTTTTCTCATTTTCCCCGAAAAGCTCGGAGGTCCCAGAGGCTCGGCAAGAAGAATCTAATTTAGTTTTATATTGCCCGCTCGTGAGCGGAAAAAAAAAAGGTACTTTCTATACTGCAATGATGTCGGGCAGGGCAGTCTAGGAGGCTGTGCTCACAGTACTCCTCCACAGAATGAATCTTACAGCTAAAGCGGTCAGATTGTGGATGTTATTTTCTTTCTTTCTTTCTTTCTTTTCTTATGAGTCCCCTGCCAGTGAGGCAGGGCAGAATCCGTGAGCAGCTCAAGCTGTGTTTCCTCAGATGACTAAAACTGTGATCAAAAGGGCACTTAAACCACCAGTACTTGGCCCAGCTATAGGCCGCGGGCGTGTCCCTTTAACACGCGACATTTGGGGGGGGGAGTGGTTCACATGAACGGCCGGTCGGTGAGAATTGCGACAAGTACTGGTGGTTTAAGAGGAATGCATCCAACTGCATTCACGTCCCCAGCGTTGTTGTTGTTGTTGTTGTTGTTGTTTTTCTGTTTTTGTTTTCCAACCGGTCCCCCCAGCCTCGGCCGGTTCAGTTACTGATACTGCCAGGCTTGGCAGGCTCGCCATACCGATCGCTGGAGGCTCGGACGTGATAGCTGGGCCAAGTACTGGTGGTTTAAGAGGAATGTATCCAGCCAATTTCACGGCCGAATCCGTGTTTCCTTTGTTATTTTTTTCTCTGTCTTTCTTGAATCTGACAACCCAGCCACAGGGCTGAGCCGCCCTCACTGAGGGCACACTCGCACTACCACTTCCAACAAAGTATAAAACAGCATTCGAGGCCAAAGATATCTTTCCTTGTCTCTTATACACATCTAGATGTGTATAAGAGACAGGCATACGAGAAACGAAAATAGAATGGGAGCCCGGGTCGGCAAAATTCCTCGCACAGTGAAATTCAGGCTCCGCAAAAACAGTCGTAGTGGTTTACCGTTAAAAAATAATAAAGAAACAAAAAAAAAAAAAACTGCCAACTCTTCATTCCTCATTCCCCTCACAGTCCCCAACCGCTTTTAGCTGCCTCACTCATATTACACGAGTCATTCAATGGCCTGGTATGGGGTTGCAAGCAGTGGAATGGCATGGCATGGCACCTGAACATTTGTCTTTGGAGACTGCAATGTTTTCGCAACGCACTGCTTCGAAACGTCCTTGATGTCGATGAGCAACTGAACAGCAAGCGACAAGTGGACGGCTGCAACGTGCAAGCAAACAAGACAACACGCGAGGAAAACTCGGCGGTGAGAGGGAGGCTGCAAAAGAAGTTTGCAGGAGAAGGCAGGTTTTTTTCCAACAAACTGCTTCCGAACATCATCGATCGCAACGACTTCAACGTAGAGCAAGCAACAAGTCGACAGCTGCAATGCAGACCAACCAGCATGTGAATCAAACCGCTCACAGCGTAAGTGGTAAGTGATTTAAATGTGAGATAAAATGAGATGCAAAAAAAAAAAAAAAAAAAAAAAAAAAAAAAAAAAAAAAAAAAAAAAAAAAAAAAAAAAAAAAAAAAAAAGACATGATATCACTTTTGATAACAGCAAAAGGGGTTGAAATTACATATCCCCCAATAACTACCATAGAAAATAAAGGTACAAAAAAAAATAATAATAATAATAAATTCAAAAAAGGACACGGAACCTGCATTACCAACCCAGCTGCCCTTGGCGGCCCAGGCGGCGCGCACCCGTGCAAGGGCCAGGGAAGGTCCCTGTAAAAAAAAAAAAAAAACATCCGACAAAAAAAACATGTCCTGCAGAAAAATCAACCGAACAAGTTTTGACTCACGGTCACATCGAAATTCTTTGCCAAATTATAAAATAAAATAATAATAATAATTTTTTTTTTTTTTAATTCATCTTTGGCCAGGCCGGGCAAGTGGTCCCAGGCCACTCTGGTAACGCAGCAGCACGGAACGCTTTTTTTTTTTTTTTTCTCTAACCACTAGTACCTTTGGCGTCCGGTTTCGACAAGTCCTGGCCAGTACCAAACTTTCAGGAGGCCGAGCCCAACGTTGATCAATCTGATCGGTGGCCGTCGTTTCGTTTCGGCCTCCTGAAAGGTCGGAGGCCGAGTATTTTCGAACCGACAAAGGTACTGGTGGTTTAATGGCAGCAGCATCCACACTTTTGGATGTGCTGCATTGCTGCATTCTTGCTCAGCCGGATATAGCAACACAACCTTCTAAGCTGAATTTTCTTCGTATTTATTAAATAGCAAAAAATACACATTGCGAGAGCATATAGATTCGCAATCTGCAATTCCCAAACTACTTGACTTTTGAGTGCGCAGCTGCAACCCTCAGCAACGAACACGTGACAGCCCTCCACTGGCACTACACCGGCTTGACTTGAGTGCACAGCTGCAACAAAATCCTTCTCTAAGTCGTGAGGGGAAGGTGTCAACAAAAAAAAAAAAAAGGTGTCAACAGATCAGACGAAGCCTGCAATGCAGCCAGTGGAGGGCCAGCGTCCACTACTGTCTTCATCCGAATAGAGCACTCCCATCATTATAGCTATATATCTGGACTGAAAATTGCACCAAGTACGGCTATTAAAAATGACCGGGCGTTCTACTCGGGTGAAGAAGGTAGTACTGTATGTGTGCTACACAACTAAGTTAGGGCATACTCACACTGGGACTTTTTTGTACTTGTTAATGGACGTGATTGCGGTCAGATGCATCCAGGTCTGGCCGCAATTTGCAGTCAGATGCATTTTGGAAAGTGCTAGTGTGAGTATGCCCTTAGCATTGCCAAAAAAGCGTTCTAAATTCTGACAAAATAGAATGAAAGAGAGAGCGAGATATACACGACCGTCTTCACCCGAATGCAACGTCCAGCAAATTCATGTCCAGATACTACTGCAATAATGACCGCGGGTTGTATCTGGGTGAAGACGGTCGGAGTGACAGAATTTTTTTTATTTATTTTTTTCAAGTAGCTAAGTTTGAATTAGATTTCGACAGTCACTGGCGGTCGCGCCCAGTGTGGACGACACGGAGACTGCACAACAACAATCTCACATGGGGCCGCGCTCCAATGAATCTTCCACTAGAACATGGAAAGATACACCACCATATTTTTTTGTCTTTCGTGCATGTGGTGAGTAGTGCAGCGAGACCAGTAGAGAACTACCATCTTCCCCCGAACATAACACACCCTGAAATTGAACGTATGCAGCCAAGATGAGGGTGCGTTTTATTCGAGGGAAGACGGTAGCAATCCAGCAGTGCGCAAATAAAACGACAACGTCAAAGTCATAAAAAACTGCTGAGCGTAAATAAAAGTTGTAAAACTGCGAAAGCTGCTAAGTGCAAATCAAACCGCGAAGTTCAAAACAAAAACTCCAAAACGCACAAATAAAATATATAGATAGTATAGAACTGCCGAGCACAAATAATATAAAACTGCCAACTGGTGCCAAGTGCAAATAATATAACTGCCAACTTGTGCCAAGTGCAAAAAGATAATAGTAATAGTAATAAAATGTAACTGCCGAGTGCAAATAAAACTTCCACTTGCAAAAACACTGTGCAATTTGGTGCAAATAAAACCGATCATGCTTTCCAAAAATAGAATGAATAGAAGGTCATTATCTTTTTTTCTAAGTCTGATGATGTTATGAGAAGACAGTTCTGTCAAAAAAAAAAGAAAAAGAAAAAGGTAAAAAAGAAAGAGAAGACAGTTATGTCATAACCACCCCTGCCACCCTGTGTAAAAAGCTGAGCTAAGGTCCAGGCGGTTTGCGGCCTGAAACCCCAACGGGCCACCAAGATACCGACCTCTGTGGGGTTGGGCGGTGCAAGGCCCAGACGGGCAGGGTGACGGCCATTCCCAGAGCATATTTATTTGTCCCCGCCCTCCAACCCCCCCCCCCAAAAAAAAAAAAAAAACTATTAAAAAAGAATTAAAAGTTGGAAAACAAAGGGGAAAGGAATACGTTTGCGCAAATCGGATCGTCATCACATTT